TATCTATCTGAAGCCAGGTTTTCTTCATATTTTTTAACCAAGGCAACATATTGGAACAGATTGAACGCAGAGGCAGATATCCAGCTGTCTTTCATTAAGCCAGATGCTAAAGTGATGGGCAAAGATTAAAACACTGCTCTTCTCACTGAACTTTATTTTACAAAAGTTTTCCACCCCTCAAAGGGTTATGTTAATACACAATGGATTTACTGTTATTTCGTAAAGAATTAACAAATACATATTTTCTAAATTGTGATTTAATTTCTAATATGGTAAATATGGATAGATATACCACAAATTTTTCTGGGGTCATTAATAATTTCAGAGAGTATGGGATTTTTGAGAATAAAATGTATGAGAAGTACTGCTGTAAAGAGATAGGAACCCAGAAATGTTGGGAAATGGGCTCAAGTGACCTGAGAGTTTTGCGTAAGTTAATAGAGGGAAGAGAATCTACTTAATTTCAGAGACAACAGGAATTAGACACACAGGTAGGAGGCCCCGTGACTGCCACACCGGAATGTCAGGCTGGGCCTTGTCCTTTTTTGGAGGAGTTAATAGACACCGATTTCTTGGTAAGAATGAAGATGTTTTTTCCAAAGTGTGAGGTTGGGAAATCTCAAATGGATATTTTTCTAACCACTTAGTACACTTAAGAAAAATTCTTATATAGTATATTTTGGGCCATAAGATTTTCTTTTCATCCCACAGAATATCCATAGGATCAACAATTGTATAGTTTTAAAACCTAAGTGAACCAGAGTAATCAAACAGATGCACTGATAAAATGGTGTTATTTCTTTCCTCAAACATCTCTGGTTTGATTCTGCAAATCAACAGGGCATTAGCTTTCCTGAACTGAAAGAAGAATCAAATGACTTAAAGTAGAACTGAGCATCCCCTCTGACCCCAGTGGCGATTTGGGGTTCTGCCCCTGGACCTTCCTCCCTGACCTGGGGAGGAATGTGTCCCTGCACAGAGCAGCAAGCTCTTCCACACAGCCTGGGCTGTGCAGCGCCAGAACTCTGAAACGATTGAAATCACAACACTACTTCCTCTTGCTTGGTCAGTATTTGGGCATTCAGAGCTATTCCTTGCAAGTTTAATGGAGTTTTCAAATGTTCTGCTAGGAACTTCTCAGTTCAGGTCCCAAGGACGAGACTCAAAACATTGCCTGGTAGGATGGAGCACCACTCTGGTACTTGGTGAAAAAGGAAACATTGAAGAGTGATACCATGAGGGCTTTAAGCTATTCTCCACAGTGCTTTGTCTCTGGGAGAAAAACAATGTTTTTCATATGAAATGTAATCCTAAACAACTTTTTAGTTTCAGTTACAGCATATTTCCAATTTTAATGAAAAATCTTACTGTGCATTCTTTTAAATGTCTAGGCTGTTCTTTTAGCACCTATAGTATATTATCTTAAAGTGTAGGTTTTTAGTCACAGCTGTGAGCTGTGGCAAGTTAAAAGATGATGATCCAAATGCAGTGTTAAAAATATCTTCCTACCAGAAAAGCATTTTAAAACGCGTACATGTGCACACGCACACGCACACACACACACACACATACACACACAGTTTTACTTATGTTTGTGATGGTCAATGAATACATAGTAAATGGTATATTAATAAATGATAAGAAAGTTCACCTACCCAATTCATATTATACTTCTACCTTTTTCTGGAAAAAAGTAGAACAAAGGCACAAAAACTGTTGGCATAAAGGAATCGATGGTTGAAGAAACAAAAAAAAACATGGATGCTATAAATATATTCAATATTCTGGTCTTGGTTGGTTATTTTCTAGAGAACTAAGGGAGTCTTTGAGTAAAGTATCTGATGGGTGAATTGCCAGAGGAAACAAGGTGTGCATGCTGGATGTCTGGAGAGAAGAGATTTCTCTTTGAATACAGGAAGTCAGGTGGTTCTGCAAACTGCAGACCAGTGAATTGGACATAATCCTGAGCAACAATCTGGGCTGGACTACTAACCATAGAGCCTGAGAGTGTTTGGAAAAGAAAGTGATCTTCAGGAGACAACATGGGTTTACCAAGAACAATTCATGTCTGATTAACTTCACCTTTTTTCATAGAAAACAAATAAATGGAAGATTATGGAAGTATGTGGAAAAATTAGATTTTAGAAGCACACACAGGATTTTATGACTCTTTGTGGGTAGAGTGGAGAAAGAAATACAAGTGGATTTTTAGTTTATTCATTCAGCAAATATCGAAAACCTACTCTGTATTATGCACTAACCTAGGCACTGAGGGTCAAACAAGAAGATAGGAATGCCCTTGATTCTCAGAGTTTCTAAAGGAGTCAAAACTCAGAAGCCCAAGTAAATAAATATTTACAAATTTTGTAATAAAGACTAGGAAGAAAACAAAGGCAGGCACAGACACAGAATGCAAGGAGAGGGGGACTCCTTTAATGGGCATGATCAGGTATCTATGAAGAGGTACAAAGAATGAGAAGAATCAGTTTTGCTATGAGCAAGAGTGGGGGGATGACAATTTCTGGAGGTGGCAGCATGGTACAGGCCTTTAGGTGTGAAAGACTTAGGATTGGAGCATTTGAAAAGGCAGCTCAATGACAAGAAAGCCAGGAGTAAGAGGGACACTAAATAAAGTTGGAGAAATTGGCAACGGTACTCCCCAAATAACAAAAGAGACTATTAAGGCAGATTCTACCAGATTATTCTTTTGACACTTTTACCAAAGGTTTGGACACCTTTGTCAGTTATTTAAAATCTGTTGCCACCTTGAAATACACTAAAAGAGAACAGAAAAATTAATTTGGCTGACAAAATAGGATCCGGTAAGATCTTACGCTCTGGTCTCAAACCCACGTGGGAATCTAGCTCTGACATTTTCTGTCTGCCCTTGGACAGGTTACTTCACCCTAAGCCACATATCAAAGACAAGTAGAGGATTAGATGCAGCCAGTTTAGGAAGATCTTGCATATTACATATAATCCTCCTCAAGCATCTGTTTATGTATGGTTTGTTTGCTCGCCGAGGAAAACTATCCTGGCAGTTTCCACCCCAGGTTTACTTTACATACACTAGCGAGACTCTGACAAAATTACTTGTTTATAGACCAAATGTAGGCCCTTACATTTCTTTTACTTATACCAATAAACTATGCTTATCTACTAAAAGGATTAAGAAATTTAGCACAGTCAAATTCTAGAACATATTTTAGCCTTCAGTGTTATTATTGTTTGGAGAGAAATTACTAAGGCAGTATTTTAAAGATACAATTTACAAATTAATATCATTTACAGTGTTGGAACTACTATATTGAAATCATAATATATATACACACATATAGTATATAAAGACTTATAGAGATTTTTTGCGGGGTTACCGGGGATCGAACTTGGGACCTCGCATTTGCAAGGCAGGCGGTGGCACCACTGAGCTAAATCCCCAGCTCTTCATATTTTTTACATTAAAAAATGCTATTAGAATCTAATACTGTCTCAATTATACCCAAAGTTACCTAAAAGATTTTTAAAATTAGGTGATAAAACTTTATTCTAAATTTTAAAAAATGATCTAAAATGTTAAAGCACAATAAATTTTGTCTATTTTAAGACAAATGGGCAAAGATCAAGCCATTCAGTGTATTGCTAAAAATGCTGGGTTTCTACTTAGAAAGGGATATTTAGAAAATGAAATGTTAGTGATAATATATATTTCTAAATGTGATGCTAAATACTAAACAATAAAATTTCAAAGCACTTTTCACACTTACTGGTTGGGAAATGAGAAAAACTACAATTATATTACCATTTAGGATATTAAATTTAGTATCTTCCTCCCTAAATTTTTTAACTTTTCACAACATTTTTGTCAAATAACTTGGTGGCTTTAGATTTGACCAAGTTCTATTTTTTCTATGTGTGTATGGCTAGGAGTAAAATGTTCCTTATTTGATACAGTATTAATGTTTTTGCATTACAATGTGCCTTTCAAAGACACTTTTATTTTAAAAGCAGGTACAATATTAAGTGGGTATTTACCTTGGCTTTATGATTTGCTCAAATAGGAAGAAATGTCAGCAGTATCAATCTTGGCAAGTAAACCACTTGCTTTTCTTTGCCAAAACTTTTTTTGTTTTTTGTTTTGCAATTTCCCAAGGATGTTTAATTCTAGTGTTCTCAATCTGCTCAGGGTGAACTTCACAGGTCTTCCTGATTCCAGTCTCTCCTGGTTATAGTTTATCTTACAGCTACTGGCATAATTTGTTTTCCTTAATCTACTTTCACCTCAGTGCTTGGAAGCACCTTTTGTCTCAATCCTGCCCTTCCCTACCTCCCTGTGCCTGCGTTTTCTGCTAAATCAAACTCAGGCATTCATAGGATGAAGCAATTTCCAGACCTTTTTTCAGATGACTCTATCTAAATCACTATTGTCTCTTATCACAAATGAAACCAATTAATTATTTTTACTTCATCTTTTTCCATACACTCTCATTGTTATACATTTATATATTTGCCAGTGGCCCCACCAGTTTTTTAGAGGTCAGAGTCCTCAGATTCCAGTGAAATTTTACTTTAAAAAAAAAATCCCCTGTAACCAGGTTTTTCTATCTCATTTGCTATAATCAGACTGGGAGACCCAGGACCTAAGAGAGCCAGATCCATGTTGTCTCAGACCAAGAGGCTAACTGGGAGCCTACAAGTACAAACTCTAAAAGTGACTCAAGGACCAGGGATGTAGCTTAGTGGTACAGTGCCTCCCTGGCAAGCACAAAACCCTACATTCATACATTTGCCTCTTCACTTCCATCGGGGTAAATGAGATTCAAACCCAGCATTTGTAAGGCAAGATTTGATTTACAGCTTCCATTGCTTTCCTGAAATCTTAGCTAATGGTATCACTAACCTTGCTCACACTAAAAATTGTAGTCATCTTTTTTATTTTTCCTTTCTCTTCTTCACATTGAATTCACCACCAAATCCTGTCGGCTTTGCCCAAAAAAAAAAAAAAAAAAAAAAAAAAAGTGCTGAAACTGATTCTCCCCGTGATTACCACCCTAGCCCAGGCTCCTGGAATCTCTCCTGAATGAAGTCTTTATTTTACCTCACTGCTGTCTGTTCTCCAACTACCAAAGGAATATAAAGCAGACCAAGTCATTCCCTTCCTTAACATTCTCCAATGGCTTTCCATCACATTTTAAGAAAACCTAAGTTCTTACTCTTGGCTTGTTACCTTTACCAATCTCCAGAACCTCACTGCCTACTATTTCCCACTGCATTCACTGGATTCAGGTTATCTCAGCCTATGAACTTGTTCCTGCTTTGAGGGTTCTGGGTTATTGTTCTCTTTAGCTAAAAAGCTTCATCCTTTGACCTTGGTGAAACTGGCTCATCATTCAAGTTTACTATTCTCCAGTGATGCTATGAAAGTATGCCCATTTGCCTATTACCATATTCTGTGCCTTATTCAGTTTCTGAGTTTCTAAGTATTTCCTTGCAGTTATTATCTACTAACACAAACAAGCTTCAGAAGGCTGTAGCTTTGTCCTGCACACCACCTTTTACCCTTTACAGTGACTGGCACACATTTGTTGAAGGAATGGCTGAAAAATCTACTCAGTCAAGATTCCTAGGCATGAAAACAGTTGCCGCAATGCTGTAATGGCAAACTCTCCACAACCCCATCCCACAACGACCGACTACTTCCCACAAAAATCCTACCTTGAATCTCCTTAGAACAGAATATTTTTTAAAAAGTCTGTTCTGCATTAGGGGTTGCAAAAATAAGAAACAAGACCTGGGGTTCTTACACATCCTTTTGTTTATTCACACTCACCAAGCAGAACCATCCCCTCTGGAAACTTTTCTCACCTCTCTGCAGGCCTTTTGTGTACATTTTTACCAAATTCCATCTAAGTGAAACTGCACGCACCGGAGTGCAGAGTAAGCAGATGACCTGGTGAGATGTGCCCTTCGCGGACACACACTGAGCTATTACGATTCGGACTCACTCATGGGCTCTTCACTTCTACCAAAAAGCAACTTTTGCTTTTTGCTATAAAAGTAAGAGTCAACGCTAGTCTCCACAACTCACCAGATCAGTGTTTAGTGCCACAGAACGAAGGAAGCTTTGGGATGAAAACAAACAGCAAGAAGATCAAAATGCCAAATAAAAAAAGGACACAAACTCTGGGTTTTGTAAAAATAAAGCTTGGGATTCAAGTATCAGTTTTTATAGTTCAAGCCATTCTAAATCTTACAAAACCTTCTAAAGGACAAGATGAACACATATTGGTTGGTGAAGAATGATGATTTGGGCTCAATTTTTTATCTATGAAATATAAATTTAATTATGACTCTTAAAATTGTAAAGCAAGTTGTTTCATCTTTAATTTTCCTGATTAGCCAGGGAAGAAAAAATAAAGCTGCTATGCACATTCCCGTGAAAAAAAAAATACTGATGAATTCTATTTGGCGACTATTACAAATTAGCCTATAGTGGCAAAGCTAAGCTTTAGGAGCAGATAATAAAGTCTGAGTGGTACAAGAATATTCCTCAGATAATAGCTACTGAATGAAGCCTGTAAATGTTAATTCAGATGGCATATTACTGTCCAAACTAATGTTAACACCATGTACAAATATATGTATACATGTATACATATGTATACATATATATACTTAAATATACGATACATGTGTATGGGGGAGACGGAAGAAGTAAAGGGAAAGTAAAGGGAAAGAAGATGATGGCGTGGAGAGAGAAAAGGGAAAAAGGTGTGTGAAAAGGAAGGGAAAGAACAATGAATGAAAATTGGTATGAATGAAAACAACCCTTTGCTTGGGTTATTTCACTTTGACATGTCCCAACTTCTAAATAATTTCCTGGTTTATAATAAAATGCAAACAGACCATAGAAACAAAATTTAGTTGACAGGCTACAATGGGATTCAGAAAAGACACAGTGAATATAGACTTAGGTACACTTTCATGCTGGTGATTTTTCTTTTTAAAAATGTAAGCCACTAATACCTTAAGAAAAAATTTAAAACAAAAACTACATATTAATATTATACACAAATTGAAACATAAGTGATTTTTAGCACAGTGTATACATGCTTACATAAACTCAAATAGTTACACATTTAAAACAATTTCCATCGAACATATGAAAATTTTGAAATACATAAAAGCATCGATACTTTCTATAAAACTACAGTTAGAACATTGATTTGCTACAAGCATATAAAAACATCAAGTGCTTTCTTGGAGTTTCAAGTTACCTCTTCAAAACACCATCTTGCTTGCATATATAGTCCTTCTCCAATAATCAGTATGGTCTTTCTTCTCTCAAGAGGTTTATTTTCCAGGTATATTGTAAGCTCAAGAAAACGAACCCAACAATTATGCAATATAATTATGTTGTAACAACTTAATTGCACATAATGCTTTTAAAGTAGGTTTGGATGAAGTTCTCAAACACTTTGGTATATGTTCTTTAGGGACTTCTAGAAATAACAAATTTTAAGTCCCTTCAACATCCATTTGCATTAAAATGGACAAGTCTTTGGTTATAAAGTTCTATATTTTGAGCATTTAGATCAGTAAAATGGTCCCCAAACCAATAAATGGTGCTGATGTAGTATTAGTTCACAAGACTTCATTTAATCTGTTTCTAATGTAGTTGGATGCTATACTCATTTACTATATCACTGATAGTTTCAATCTTTCACTTACAATCAGAGAAGTCGATACTTTTTATCATTTCTCTGGGAATTTTCTGTTGTAACCTAAACTGTACAGTGATTTTCAGTAACTATACTGTTCCACAGTATATATGTGATTATTAGAAAAGCATTAAATTTAGTTAGCTTACTCTGGTATGTCACTATCAGACTGTAGGTAAATCTGCCTTAACTATTAGTAGGTTGTCAATAATGCTTATTTAAAACCCCAACCGTTCCACATACAGGAGAAACTGTTGCAAATGTATAAAACAGCAGATATACAAGGAGAACACCAAACATACTTTATTAGCACAAAAAAAGCAGCCATAACAAGGCACAGCAAGCAGAAACATACATTAGCAGTCAAGGGGTTAGTGTTGCATACAAATATAGCTTTTCTCTTTTGTAGCCTTGGCAATAGCCATAGGGATATAAAATGACCTTCTGTAGCAACTGGTAAGGAAACTAAGGACACTCGCCAGCGGTACAGACCACAGTAACAAAAGGACACAAGAACGGATTAGGCTACTGTAGTGCAAATGTCTAAGACAGAACTGAAGACTCAGTTCAATACTAAGCAAACACTAGAACTTGGTAATACTTCCCAAAACGCTCACTCAAGTTGTATTATATACTATTCTAACTGACAAAAAAGGTGCTAAGTAAAGTTATTTACAGTTACAATGGTTGTACAGTACCTTTTAAATCTGCAATTTAAGTTTCAGGTTTTTCCATGAAGAATTAACTGCACTGAAGTTCTATAAATTATACTTAAACAATTCGGCTATAAGAGTTTACAACAAAGAGATAAATACTGCCATCCAAATTATTAATTATAGTTCAACAATAATCTCAACAGCAACCACTGTAGTACTGTCTGACTTGGGGCAATTTCTGTCTCATTTTCTTCATGGTCCATACACTCATCTTGGGCACAGGAAACATCCAACTTTAATGAAACAATGTTTAGACTGCACATGTCAACTTAAAAAAAAAATCACACACAGGACTACAACTGCAGCAGCTATTCCAAATACCTGCTTTAAGTTAAAGCGTTCGCTGAAAAAAAATTAATACCTAGGACCTTTAAATAAATATTCTAATACTAAACTTTGTAAGTCTGAAATTTTAAGAATGACTGTTTAGAAAACCTGATTTAACAGTACCTTTCAAAGAAAAGGAGACTATCAACTACATCAACACTCAAAGTGAACTGCACTCTGCCCTTGTGGCCAGAAAGTTGCATTTTTTTTCCCCTAAAAGGAAGGCAGTCTTTTGTTTTGTTTTTTGGACTTCCAAAGCTTGATTTTTAGTAACTACAAACATCACTAACTTTTGGAAGATTATAGAAAAATTCTTAGAAAAAATAATTTCAAACATTAGTCACACTGTTGGAATACTCATCCTAGTAATTTGTTCTTTAGTAAGAAATAGCAAATGCCCCAGAGTTGCCTCACTTAATTACTACAGCCATTGAAAACCAAACTTAGCTAAACTGGCAAATGTTTTCATAGCTTTACTAAACACCTGTTGTTTCAGTAGCACCACGTTTGTCTTAGTAAGTAACAGCATTGGACAGAGACTAGTAACTAAACTTACAGACTATGTGAGAAAACCTAGCACTGATACTGTGCTTCTGAGAGGTGTACTGATGCACGTGAAAGCAAGGCTAGTTAATGCCCTTTGGGGACAGAAGAGTTTACTTTGCCTTGACTGGTTCTCGTTCTAACCAGCGAACCCTAACCTTTTGTTTGTAATGATACTCTTTTAAAAAATCCTGTAACATTGATGGTAGAGGGAGCCCATCAATTCCGTCGTATGTAGTGCACCTGCAGATGACTGCACGGCAGATGTACTGCAGGCTAAAAGGAAAGGTCCTATTCAGAGATATAGTAAGCAATGGTTCAAAAAACATGCAAGAACTGGGGTCTTTATAATGTTCTAGAAGTCCTGTTACAGTGGAAGAGTGAAAAACACATGGGTCGTGGGCATCAAAACTGAAGTTGTGATTCCACTGTTCAATCCGAGCATGCAGGGATCTGTTGTAGCGGCGGAAGCTCACAGAGAAGAGGTAGTCCTCTTGTGCAGAGTCCCTGAGCAAAAATGTGCCTTCAGGTTTCCCTTCCAGAAGGGCTTCTGCTTCATAGCGATCCATCACTCCCCAGTAACAGGGATTCCCTGTGATCTGAAGCAGATCCGGCACGAGGCAGTGTATGTAATCAATCTGCGTATGGACTTTCCAAGCTCCCTGTCTGCTGACATGGGCGTGGCTGTCTCCAGACACCTGGCGCTGCTTCTGCCTTCGTGACTGCAAACACAGGGTGGTTGTGTCCTCTTCTGAGTCACAGGTAGCTTGTGGAACTGCAGAACTGTCCCCACTCATTTCCGTCATCCCCGGAGCTAACTTTGGTCCCAGTTTATATAAGGGATTCACCTGCGCAGTAGCTTCAAATGTATGTATTTGTGCATTGGGAGGGGGATCTACCCCTTCTTCAATACTAAGCCGTCTTCTCTCTCTAAGTCTGTCTTCTTCATCTTCTGTAGAAACTAAGGACGGATCAAATGTATCAAAAAAGGTTGAATGTGGGCTCACGGGAGCTGTATGCTGTTTAATCAAGTGCCATTTTTGGGCTAAATCTGAGCCAGCAGGAAAAGGGCATTTCTCGAGCATTAATTCAGAAAGATGTATTTTTCTTTTATTGGAAAAAAGGGGCTTCGACTGCTTGGTGTAAGTTCTCATGGGAAAACAGAAGCCCACCGTGTCCTGTAACCTCTGTCTCAGAGAGCGGCTCCCAACAGTTCTGCCAGAAACACTGTCCATGTCGTGCACTGAGCTCACTCCATAGCGCCTCTCTCGCCTTTGCAGGCCACTTCGAGCTCTACCAAACTTTTTATCAGTATCCAAAGAACTCTGGGTCTTTGTGGAACAGGAATGCTTTTTCTTCCCACCCCATGGGGCATGTCGAGAGTAGGAATCTCTTCGTGCAAGTCTTGTTCCTGGGGTGACACATGAATCATTATCCTTCTCAATGCTTATTTCAACAATTTGAGGGATTTCGGTAGCACAGTTTTGGTTTCTCCTTGAAGAATTCTTCGAAGGACTTAATCCCAGCTGTAAGGCAACATTTTCTCTTAAGGGACTGCTTTGCTGCTGAGGAGCGGAGTCTACCAGACTGATGCTTTTCTCTTTGATAGACAAACACCTGTTGGGGTTCATGTCCACATTTTCACTATGGTTTCCTCCCTCATGACCGAAAAGATTCTGACATCTGTATTTGAAGGTATTCCACATTTTCCCCACTTTATCCATTGATTATAAGATCTAGAGATAAAATAGAAAAAGGAGAAAAATTAATCAAAATGGCATGTGAAGATAAAAGGCAGTGCTTGCTTTCTCCCCTTCCCACTGGGAGTTTCAGTGACAGGGGCAAGAATGTGCCGTTCAAGTGGTGCATTACTGTTTGGTAGTAATAAAGCCACCAGGCTCTGTTAGTGGCACTGACCATTACCAGTCCTCACTTCCCACTTCCTTTCAGAAAGAATACTCAAAACTCAGGTGAAAGGAAAGAAGCCCCTAATTCAACTCTAGTTTCTTTTCCCCAGGCATCAAGCTAATTTCATTATCACACTGATTTTTGTTTCTTCACTTTGAGAAAATGAAATACTGTCTCAAGTTATTTCAAAGGAAAAATATATATTGCTGAAACAACTGTATTCAACTTCTTTCTCAAAAGTTATAATGATTAGGACATCGGTGTTACACATTAAAATTAGTTCAAGACCCAGAGAGTAATTTTTTCAGTTTCACTTGTCAGCTCCTTCCCCAACATTCTAAAGTTAACGGGTTAAAACCCTGTGCCTTCCCTCTCCACTACATAATGTATCAAATTTTATCCATGATTTTGAAGAAGTGGTCTGAATGGAAAGGAAACTAGGAGGAAAGAAAGAGTGCCACATTTAGGTTTAAATGGAAAGGTGTCTTTAAACTGTTACTTCTGGAAGAATGAAAACAGAATGGGGGGGGGGCTGTGATACTATAGTAATTAGCAAAACAAAAGCAAAAAGCAATGCAACCTGACTTCTTTATTCTCGCTGTTTAAAAGGAAAAAAACCAAAAGCACTTTATGGTAGTTTACTAAAAAATTCTTTAAGACTACAAGACTACATCAATAGGTATACTGTCTTATTTAAAGTACGATGGAAAACATAAAATTCAACTGGTTTTGTGACATCATGATAGTGGAGAACCTTTACAGGTGCACATATGCACATAAGCACTCTGTGTAGTCCAGGCTGCCTCTGAATGATGTTTCTTTTGCGTTTAACCTCTTGAGTAGTGGGATTACAGGAGTGCACCATCACTCCTGGCAGAGAAGCTTTTTCAAAAAGTGTCTTTCTACTCTGTCATTTAATGTATATGGCACTTTTAACATTTTTCAGAATTTTTTGTTCCCATTCTCCACAGTTTAGGATCTGTATTGGAAAATGACTTTTTACAGTAGCAAGTCTTCAGAGCTGATGTTACCATTATTCTGATTATTTCTCTTTGTTACAAATATATTCTCAAGGTACTGACAAGAGAATACAGAATAATCTTTCCTTAAAATGAATTATACGGGGTATGACTGAAAAACCAACTCAAGCTTAAAATTTAAAAATATTTATTACAGTAAAAACATATTGCCATTAATCCCTTTCAAAATGCTCCCTCTCCCTTGCACACACTTATCCCATCACTCTTGTCACTGTCTAAAGCAGTTCTGGAAGTCCTCACTGTGAGTGTCTTTGACTGTGCTGTCATGGCGGCCCTGATCCTCCCTTGAACCGAATGAAAACATCTACCTGCTCAATTTGATTCTGGGCAAGAGCTAGAAGTCTCACATGCCAGATCCAGTGAATAAGGTGGATAAGGACACGTATGTTTTCAAGAGCCTGCCAATCCGAAAGATGGCAACTAGCAGCAGCATTTCATATATATGTGTGTGTATGCATATATCTCTATATATCTTTATATATATAAATATGTATATACATGTGCATATATATATATATATATATATACACCTTTTTTAACATTTTGTAAACACATGAAAGAGGATTTCTACATCTCCTTCAGAAAGTGACATGAATGAAGGGATAAGTGTTTGAAGCAAGTGGGAACATTTCAAAGGGGATTAATGGCCATATGGTTTTTACTGTAATACATTTAAACAAATTTAAATAATCACTATATTTTGATCACCCCTTGCATATTTTCTCATTAGTTTCTTGGAGAAAGGGCTCTTGGATTAAAAACATTCTTCAACTAATGACAGTATCAACAGTGTTGGACACATGGGAAGTTTGTATGGAATTCTTTATATGTTTTAATGAAAATGTATTGATGACTATTAAATTTCATTAAACTCTTAGAATATTTGCCTCTTCCCCCTTGCAAAAATCTTTTGTAAGTTTTGAAGCTTACATCTGAAATTCAAATATTTTGTTATCATTTATATATATTTTTTGTACCAGCGATTGAACTCAGGCTCTTGCACTTACGAGGCAGGCAGCAGAACCACTGAGACAAATCCCCAGCCTACCATCATTTATTCTTGATAAATTAAGTTTTGAGTTCCTTGCTTACAATCCTGTCATATATAGCCTAAAACTGTATTTTTGTTGTTTCCATTGTCTTTGTAGATGTATGGCACTTATCTAATATCCTAGCCCCTTTCTATCCTAATTTCTTTAACTTTTTTTATTTTATTTTTACCTGATCCATATATAGTTTCAAGGTCAAATACTACTACAGGGCTTTTTAAAACATTTTTTTTCCTCGTTGAGTTTATTGGTACATTTTAGGTCTACAGTGCAGTTACATTCATTACTGGAATCTTGTACCTTTACATGACAGGTCTTGGTTCTCATTTTTTCCCCTTGTCCCTGCCCTCCCTTCACCCGCTCCTCCCCTTCCCATTTACAAACTGTAGGGCTTTTAACTAAAAATAGCACCACCCACCATATGCTGGAAGATTTCTATCCTCCAGTATTCAAGAAAATTTAAGTTGTTTTAGCTATTTGTGCTGGTAATGTTCTTATTTATTCTAGATATCATACTCATTGTCTTTTTTTGGTTTAAGACATTACTGACTTCAAAATATGGAAGCAGTTAAAATACATTTTGGTTAAATCAATATTTATGGTTATGATTATGAGCATGTGAAACTGTATGAAGTTAAGCTACTTTATTTTCCTTGTACAGTCATTTGTTCTTCCTAGAATTGCTGCCTCTTTGTTTGCTTGCTGTTTGTCTATTGCATTCTGTCTCAATTCTTCTACAGAATTTTAAAACAACTTTCACTGTCAAATATTGGCTACACAGCCCTGTCCTGTGACTTTCCTTTCCCGCTATTCTAGCAACTCTTCTTTTTTTTTTTATAATAGAGATGTTCTATTTTACCCTCATGTATTTTATTCTTTCAGAATAGAACACTAGGTTGGAAATAACATCCTCCAGATTTTGAGGCCATCATCATATTATTTTCAAACTTCTAATGTAGCCTCTCTACTGGAAGGTCTCATACCACATCAATTTCTAGTCTTCTACATATGATCTGTTTTAATTTTTTGGAAAATTGTAGCTGCTTTTCCTCTTCCTTAGTGTGGTCCTTTTTCATTCACTGTGTTAAGTTCCCCTTGCATGCCGTCCCCATTGCCCTCTTCCTTCCCTTTTCAAAGTAATTTTCCTGACACACTTCTGATTGCTCTCTTGATTATCTTTTATTTACTTTCCATTTTTCATTTCTCTTCTTTGCTATTTTCTGGTGATTTCTATAGCTTCAATTTCCAACATTTTGCTGTTACAATTTTAATTTCCAGAACTGTTTTTCTATTCTCTGAAAGTACTTTTTTTTTTTTTGTACCAAAGATTGAACTCAGGACCTTGTGCTTGTGAGGCAGGCATGGTGCACCACTGAACTAAATCCCTGGCCCTTGAAAGTACTTTTTAATAGCATCCTATTCGTGTTTCTTGGATATCTTAATTCTGAGGGCACACATTTTAAAAATATTTTCATTTCCTAAAAAAAAAACCAAACAAAAAACCTTAAATATGTTTCTTAGCACCTTTTCATTCTCCTTGAATCCACGGGCCTCTGTTTTTCATTCTGAAGGCTTTCCCCACATGTCTGATCCCTTGGCTGCCCATCAGCACTCTAATGCTGATGAGAAGCTCTGTCTGTATGGGTGGGGCTTGTCAACTGGTGGACTTTACTACAAGGCAATGAAGCAATGAGTTAGTTAAATTTTTGTATTAGGGGATCCTCCGAAGTCAATTTGTCTTGTGACTGATAAATTATCCCTGAGAGAAAAGGTCTGATCTCCTGTCTAGGTGATATACACCTGACTGCCATGCTGTGAAAACAGAGGAAAGGGAATGGATGAGGTTTTTATCTTTGATATCCAGACTTTCATTTTTTGCTTTTCAAAATGTGTTCTTATTTTCTAAGGACATCTCAACTTCAGCTATAACTCAATCTCTCTGATTAAATTTCTCCAAGTTCTAAGTCTCTAGTTTTATCCAAAGTATATAGGAACAATGGTCTTCTGGCTGCTCAGGGGAAAGAAGGATAAGACGTGGGAGCCTGATACAGATTTTCACCTATTCTTACCCTTACCTTCTGCGGAACTGCCACCAGTTCATGGGCCATGCTTTGAGCAGCTCTAGTCCAGTGGGGACCACTCCATATAGCTACTGATTCTAAAATTGTGGCATGTGCGACACACTGAAGTAGTAACAGTTTGAATATAATTAGCTACATATATTGTTTAAATTAATTTCACTTTTAAATGTGGCTATAGAGAATTTTAAAATATGTTTATTTATAGTTCAGATTATATTTCTATTGGAGCTGGAGTCAGCAAACTACAGCCTGAGGGACAAGTATAGTACAGGGACAGTTTTTATGCTAACCCAGCTAAAAATTGCTGTTTTTTTTTTTAAACCGATCAAACACCCCCCCACACCACCACCACCAAGAACATCTGACAGCCCCCACATGTATGCAAAGCCGAAAATATTTCCTATCTGGTTCTTTTCAGAAAAAGTTTACTGATGCTTACCTACAATATGGAAGGCAATAAACTATATATACCGCTGTAGACACTAGATGAACCATGGTCATGATCTCTGTTTATAGATTTTGTGGCTCTCTGAAGTTATTTTTCTTTCAAATTATACCTCGAGTGACTGTCCAACTTAGAAAGTGACCAAACCTAGAAGCACTCATAAACTATAAGTATACGTAGGACACACAGAAGACACTTTACTTACCAGGACACCAAGGGCAGTTTGTAACACTGAACTCTTGGTTCAGTTTCACAGATACATCATGAGTTCTCTATTCCTAATGTGGGGAATGTTCTCAGATTACAGAGTGACAAAATAATTTAAAGGAAGGCTATTATGCTTCCACATTCCTTGGGAAAACAAAGTGGACTTTTCTTGACATAGGAATACTATGTGGGCAGCTAAATACTGACATGGACTCATGGAACAAGTCACTTAAGAACCAAGAAGACATTTCAACTTTCTTAGTATTTACAATGTCAGATTTGAAGTCCTTTTGCTGTTAAAATTTTTAGAAATGTAGTTGAGGGTAGAGCTGAAATCCTTTGAGATCTAAATTACAACTCTATTACTTTATATAATAAAGTTTATACTGCTTTTTAAAAAGTGTGAAATTTCAACTGTATTCATTCTAGAATAGAGAGTTCATTAGCCATACAATCTTTTCTGGCCTGCCCCAATACTAGGAATTGAACTCAGGGCCTTCACAGTGAGCTATAACCCCAACCCTTTTTATTTGTTTTTCAGATAGGGTCTGACTAAATTGCTCAGGCTGGGCTTGAAATTGCAATCTTCCTGCCTCAGCCTCAGGGAGTGCTGGGCTCAAAGGCATGCACCACCACCCCGCTAATCTTTTTGCATTTCTATACATGCTTAGCTATCCTTAAAACTAACCAAGTTTTAAAAATGTTATTCCTTCCCCCCAAGAAATCATACTTTGAAAATAGGTTATAATGCTCTTGCAAATTAGATGGTTTTTGTTGAAAGTTTGTATCTGTCAGGATAAGCTATAAAACAATTAAAGAAAGTTAGAGGTAAAATTTCATTATAATAATTTACATATACAAAAAAAAAAAAGAAGAAAGAAAGAAAGAAAAAGTATAGTCAGTGGCCTTCAGTGGCTAAGTAGTATCTATCACAAAATTTCCACCAAACAAAATAAGTGAAATAATTTCTGGGAGTTCATTTCAATGGGATTTAATCAAGCATTATGAGAAATAAACTCACCAAGTTTTAAGATAATACCGTAAGGCACAGCAGATAAAATGGAAGGCTATGACCCAATTTAAATACCTCTGCTGCTGTTTAGTAGACTCATACGACCTAACCATGATAGAATCTTTCCAATATAAAGTTTTTCACTGTCAAATTCAGGTACAAGAGGCAGTTTAGGAGACTGACGTATTAACTGACATTTTGGTGGCATTTCAATGTTTGGAAACACAGTATCAGTAATATTTAGACTAACCCAAATTTCAAGGAATGCACGGCTGTCATAGCTATACCCTTTTCAAAGAATCTGAGAATGATATTTTAAAAATACTAATTTCAATGATTTATACAGTACAGTGATACTGTTTATCCAATCGGACAGGTATTTATCTTTAATACTGCTACTTAATAGGTTGAACCATATAAAAGAGAACTATATAAAACTGCCATTTCGTGGGTAAAAATGGTCATATAATTCAACCTCAAACTTATACAATGTGCATAATATATTAATTTAATAGATAGCCTATGTACTTGTGCTCTCAAAAAAATGTGGAGCCCACCTATCTAATATACCCAGATGCTTCTGTTCCCACTGGCTCAGTTATATTTTCATTAAGTTTCAAACCTGCTCATGCCACTTTATAATTATTTTATTTAAATCAAATGTTAATTAACAAGAGATATGAGGGGCTTGGGAATTTGACTAAGTTGAATGATTTTTGAAATATTCAATGAAAATAGTTGAAAGAAATGAAAAAATATGGCAAAGATCTATAAGGATTCAAAATTCAGAATGCATCAGAACATTTTAAATTCTTGTTCTACTTTAAAAATGTTAACTGGAACCTTAGTGATACATTATGCGTATAATTTCTGCAGCACAGATACTCTGGATCTGCAAGTAATAGAATTCTTCATGAAGAAAAGGCCTTGGCTTGTTATCCACATGACTGACAAGTCAACATACAGTTATGTATCCTCTTTTATAGTTTCTTGCTTTATTAGACTTCATAGATAACTGATTCAAGCTCTGTCAGATAGAGATGAGGACTGTTGCATTCTCAACAATCAGAACAGAATACATCCATTATTAATAAATGTATCATTTAAACAAGCAAAATTATTTAAATACACATATAAAGACATATTACAGGGATATACTTATGTTTATGGACGTATAATCTGATAACATTCTCCACACTATATTTATAGCAGCACAACTTATAAGAGCGAAATCTTGGAAGCAGTCTATATGTCCATCAACAGGTGAACAGAGGAAATGTGTCTACACATAGGGATACTACTCTGCCATAAAGAAAATCTTGAGCCATTTGTAGGAAAATGGATGTATCCTGAGAGCATAAAATTAAGTGCAATAAATCTGAAAAATAAGCTTAAATATTGCATAGTTTCTCTTCTATGAGAAACTCAAAGAATAAATAAAGAGCAAAATAAAAAGTAATAGGAAGTAGGGAGCTAGATCTTTCTTAAAGGGCAAGGGGATGAAGAGATGGAGTGGGGAAGGAAAGGGGATTAAAAAAGGAGTGAAGGTACAAATTCCATACAATGAATGTTACCATTTTATATATATATAAAATGTACTGATAAAATTCATTTTTAGAACAGGAATTAAGATGCGTTATGTACGTGTACCAATTCCACACCAAAACCATGATTATATACTGCAAGCATGTACCAGAGAGAGACAGAGAGAGAGAGAGAGAGAGAGAGAGAGAAAGAAAGAGAGATATTAAAAAAAGGAAGAGGATCAAGAGATGAACAGGGGAGGAAAAGACAAAGGAGATGAAATAAGGAATTAAGATGCATTATATACGTGTACCAACTCTGCGCAAGGAATGTAAACATGTACTGCAAACATGTACTAATAAAATGATATGGAAAATATTCTTATTTTTTAAAGATATAAAATCCACTTTTAGCTAATGGACTGTAGAATAACGCATGGTGGGCTATAGTTTGCCAACTCCCGACCCAGGTATAGCACAAAACCTCTGATGATACATTTGCCAGAACTAATGTACACCCTATGGAACAGCCTAACATACTCTTAGATGATTTTAAGTGTGTAAAGATAAAGCTATGGTCACCGGAGCATAAGAGGAGAAAAACTAGAAACTGTTCCTTGCAAAAAGGGAAACATACATGATAGAATTAAAACACTGTATATATTCAAAACAATCTAACCCTTACTTGAAATCCCAACACCCAGAGAAAAATCACTGTTATTTGGTGAATATCTTTTCAGATAGTCTCTTTTATGCAAAAAGCTATGCATAATCTTCTACTTAAAAAAATAAAAAAACTCCATGTCTGTCTACCTACTTTCTTATTTTTAGTACAGTTGATTTTCCTTCTTTTTTTTTTTTTTT